TCAAATAAAACATTTAGAGGAACACAAACTAAGAAAATGGCACACTAAATATGAAACTATATATTCTATTAGTGCAGAATAGTTGCGCATGCACAAAAAAAGAGTAGTGAAAATATAAATAAGAAAAAATAAAACAAAATCAAGAACTAGATCCTCCCAGTTACTTACTCTATTAACGACTAGTACAGCTTATCCTTCAAACTGATAACCAGGACAGTGATTTGATTTAAGTCCACATATAATCACACATGCAGAACGGCAAACATGTCTCAATCAATTTCAGATTTGGGTCATAAGAAAAGCATTACCTTATTTCTTATTTTTTAAAGATATCTTTATTATTTTTTCTGTAAAATGATTTAACTGACACAGATCTCCCATACTAATAATTGAACTTAATAAGCATTAGAACATTTCCAATGGAAACTTGATAGCCATTTAAAGTAATATAATTTAATTAGGCAACCTTTGACAAAACAAGAATCAGTTTTTCAAAGCACATTTTTCTCCACAGAAATGTATTAACCTCTTTCAAAAGATGTAAGAGAGAAGATCTCCTTATGTTTGAATACAAGGTCCTATCTGTTTTATGGAAACAATTTAAAGTAATACCTTTGTCCAAAGTAAAAAAGTAATACTTTTTTCTAAAATAATTTATCTTATAAATCTTTAAAAACGTTTGGACATTGAAAGATTTAGCCAGTTTGTGACAATTTCTCTGAGTTTTACATTTTCCATTTTCTTTCTTTTTTTTTTTTTTTTGAGACAGAGTCTCGCTTTGTTGCCTAGGCTAGAGTGAGTGCCATGGCGTCAGCCTAGCTCACAGCAACCTCAATCTCCTGGCTCAAGCAATCCTTCTGCCTCAGCCTCCCAAGTAGCTGGACTACAGGCATGCGCCACCATGCCGGCTAATTTATATATATTAGTTAGCCAATTAATTTCTTCTATTTATAGTAGAGACGGGTCTCGCTCTTGCTCAGGCTGGTTTCGAACTCCTGACCTTGAGCAATCCACCCGCTCGGCCTCCCAGAGAGCTAGGATTACAGGCGTGAGCCACCACGCCGGCTACATTTTCCATTTTCTTTCAGAGGGCAACAACTTTAATACACTGGAATACTAAATAGAAATTCTTCAATGCAAAAATCATCAAAAGTACAGACATAAAGCAAAACATTCTATAGTAACAAAAGTCTTTCAATTTCACTTCAGTGAAAGGTAACCTACTTGACAGAAAGAGGCAGAAAGATAAACAATCCGTTTCTTCACAATGCTATAGATCTGCTCATTAAACACTTTTAGTCTGAAAATTCAGAGCATATACCAATTTCCAAAAGACTAAAACAGGTTCACTCACATCTTTATTTGCCAGCCCTCATTATCCTATTGAATTGTGAACTTAAATTCAATTTCAGAGCAGGGCTATGAATCTTAAGTAACAAACTTTATAATTTATAAAAATGCAAATAATCAAATTTCATGTAGCAATTTTATAAAGCAAAAGCAACATGCACATGAAGCCACTTTTGATAAATGATTTCTTAAATAAATTATATAAGAAGAGGAAGAACAGCCTATTACCCAACACACGGGTTACTAGTATAATATGAGCAGTAAGATTGGTAGCTGAGGAATCCCAGGCAGTGATGGCTACTGTTGTCCTAGGTTGCAAAAGCATTAATAGAAAGAAAATTGACCCTTGAACAACAGACACATTTTAAAAATATGAATAGGCCGGGCGACGGTGGCTCACGCCTGTAATCCTAGCACTCTGGGAGGCCAAGGCAGGCGGATTGCTCAAGGTCAGGAGTTTGAACCAGCCTGAGCAAGAGCGAGACCCGTCTCTACTATAAACAAAAAGAAATTAATTGCCAACTAATACATATAGAAAAATTAGCCGGCATGGTGGTGCATGCCTGTAGTCCCAGTTACTCGAAGGCTGAGCAGCAGGATTGCTTGAGCCAGGAGTTTGAGTTGCTGTGAGCTAGGCTGACGCCACGGCACTCACTCTAGCCTGGGCGACAAGTGGGACTCTGTCTCAAAAAAAAAAAAAAAAACAGGCAACTATTCTGCACTAATAGAATATATAGTTTCATATTTAGTGTGCATTTTCTTAGTTTGTGTTCTCTAATTGTTTTATTTGAAAATTTTTATTAGCATCTCGGAGCAGAAGCACCAATATGCTTAATGGACCTACATATGACCATGAAGGATCATCTCAGGAAACAATCCGGAGGTGCAACCAGAGAGGTGCTGTCATTTCCTTAGGGACAGGTCC